TTTATACCCTGAACATTGAAAATGGGTAAAAAAAAGGGTATTATGTATTTCTGCAAATGTATGTAACAGGCAGAAGGAAGCATCTCTGACCCCATAAAGTATATCAATTCTTGATCAGCATCAACAGCCGAGTCGATCTAGCCATGTCCGTCTGTCCGTCCGTCCGTCCGTCTTTCTGTCCGTCTGTATGAACGCAAGGATCTCGAAACCTATAAGAGCTAGAGACTTGAAATTTTAGCTGTAGGTCCTCCTAGTCCCCGCGCAGATCGAGTTTGTTTCCGATAATCGATAACTTGCCCCGTTTCGATAAAAATCGATATCGAAATCCTGTTTTTTGAGCAATTTCGGCAACGAATATGAGCTAGAGTCACCAAAGCTGACATTTAGCTTCTAGAATAGTATTTATATATCAAGTATCTTTCATTTTATACCTTTAGCCTGTTTGAAGTTGAGGGTTCATGGTATTCCCTAGTCGGGAGCTTCCGACTAGAACCTCTTACTTGTTATAATATCGATCTATATAAATCTATATATATATATATATCTTGCAACTTTCATAGTTTCAATTATTAACGAATAGAGATCAACATAGTTTCCGGTCTCCTGCTCAGAAATAAGAAAATGTGGCAGCAGAAAATTTGAAATTTGCTCATGTTTTAGCTGCCAAATAGAATAGTTATCAAACATTTTCATTTACCTAGAGAAATATGTGTAGTGTGTATTTAGGTGACAGCCGCTTTAAGCTAGATAAGTGGATAGATAATATAAGTTATAATAGAATTTGCCTTGCCAGTCTGTGGGGCATAAACATATTCAAATTGGACAAACGCAGTCTCCGTGGCACAAGTCATGCGCCAAGCCCAATTCAACCCATTCTAATTCCAATTCGCATACAAAAATTCCAATTGGAATTGCAATGCCCACACAAATGTACCTCTCGCCGGGCAACCTGAGGCCGCCGCGCGTATCAATTTGTTGGCTGCACGGCGCCGACATGCCGCGTGTGCCATTAAGTGGCCCCCATCCTATTCTGCAAATTGAAATTGAAATTGAAATTGAGATAGATATAAGAAATTGAGAGCCAAGTCTCTCGGGCATGGACTTGCACTAAGCGCAGGAAGAAAGCATTTATTTGATGATCTCGAAAATGATTCCACACTTGCGCCAGTCAAGTGGCCAGGCCTTGCCAAAGTCTTATTTCTTATTATTTATTTTAAATAGTTTTTTTTTGAAATTTTTTGCCAAAAATTCCAACCCGATTCGCAAGCGATCGCAACTGATGTCATCCGATCACTTTTCTCGTATGCGTCATGCCTGGCCGCAAAAGTCTTCCCTGGCGCGGGCAATTCAATAACGTCGATTTTGCTGTCGGGTCTGACCGACTGAGAGATACCCTGTATAAATTGCCCAGCTGCCGTTACAAACATTCTACCTAACCAGCGATGCTTCTTATTCCCTTATAAATGTACCTACGTCAATAAATCGATATTTATCGATAATTTGAAAACAAAAGGACATATCGAAATGGGATATACGCAGTATACATTGCCCAGCTGCCGTTACTTGAGCACTTTATGGCTCACCAGCTATGCTTCTTTTTCCCTAACAAACGTATCTATATCTCAAAATCGATATTTATCGATAATCTTAAAACGAAAGTACATATCGAATTGGGATATACTCAGTATCTATTGCCAAGCTGCCGTTACTTGAGCACTTTATGGCTAACCAGCTATGCTTCTTCTTTCCTTGGGCCCATGTTTGCGAAATGCATGATATGCTATCGATATATATCGATTATCTTAAATCGAAAGGACATAACGAAATGGGTGTGTTGTAGGAGAATATAAATATTTGGACATTTAGATACTCAAGTAAAATTTCCTAAATTTAGGCACAGTTTGTACAGATTTTAAGTACTGCAACAAATTTCATGACATAGTCGTAATCTCCTCTATAAGAGTATAAAGAAACTTCACTAATGCAGGCAACAAGTGAATGAACTTGTCGCTTAAAATTACCCCAAAGCAAGGCGGTGAGGGGGGGGGGGGGGCTGCAGAGGGTATGCCACGCCCAAAGATACCCCTCCGAAAAGAATGCGCTGATAATGCGCCGATGTGAATAACAAGCAGAACAGAGAGAGCTGAGCAGAGCGGAAAATCAAAGTCAAGAACGCGTGAAATGTCGAACGCAACGTTAAATTTGTGTGTGTCGAATGTGACTCGAGTGTGTGTAAAAGTTTTTCGACTTTGTTTTCTTTTTCCTCTTTTCATTGTTGTTTGTGTGTTGCGCTGTCTGTCGATTTTCCGATTTGTTTGTGAATTTGTATTGGTGCATTTCCGTTTTATTTTTGTGTTCATGTGCGGGCAAATGACCTTAAAATAAGCCAGTTTCTCTGGAGATGCCGAGTGCAGGGTGGCCCCAAAGGGTCATCGCCTGCCAAGGTTCTATTGAAAGTAATTGATATATAGACGAATATATTGAGCTATCTTTTATGCTTCGATATGTGTTATATATTTGATAAAAATTGTTATCTCACTTGTTAGCGAGTAAATATATTGCTTAAATCAGTCCATACTAGAGCTGGAAAAACAGCGATATCGGAGACAATCGATAGTACCGATTGTTTTTAAGTAAAATGTCAATAGTATCGATGTTTTCAAAAAGAAAATCATTAGAAAACATTGGTTATTTTAACAAGAAACAAATTTCTTATTTTCTCTAAAAGTAAATAACATTTCCAATGCAATTCATGTGAATATACTATGAATATATGTGAAAATACTCATCGATAGTTATCAAAACACCAAATACATCGATACTATCTCTCGATAGTCCCATCGATTGTTTTCCAGCACTAGTCAAAGGCTGCTCGGTCGAATTACCGTATTATTTAGTTGCCAAGGAAATCAAGTTGAGATATTTTAAATCAATTCTCTAACTGATCAACATCTGGCAAGAATATCACAAGGCTGGAGTCTTCAATTGGATCGAAGCGTTGCGAATCCGAAACTCCAATTCGTAGCACCGACAAAAGAGTTCCTTAGTTTTTTTTCTGCAAGTTCGTGGAAAAATTCTCATTTGTCTTTTAGGGTATTTAAATTTCGGCACTCGCAAGACTTCTATTCTTTATATGATATAGACCTCATGTAGTAGCAAATTGGCACAGATTGCGGCTCAAAGCAAAAGCATCATTTCATCATTTCCACACGTTCCCGGACAAGTTTTTAGTTTTTTGCTTTATCTCTAGCTTTATCATGGCAAAGATGCATACGTATGCGTAGCTCTGTGTATATATGTACTATTTCACAAATGTTTAGCAATGTGTCGCTAAAAAGTTGCTGCCCACTGCGAGGTCTGAGCTCCTCTTCTTAAGTTGGCCAATTCTTTTTATTTTTTGACAATGGCACACTAATTTTTTTATGTTTTTCTGTACATTTCCAAATGTGCGTCACGCTCTCGCACTAGTATCTCTCTCTCGCTCTCTCGTTCGCCTTTGCTAATTTCTTTTTATGCATTTGTATCGCAGAAGAGGAGGAGCTGGCGGAGGTCGATGTGTCCGAGGAGGAGCCGCAGGTTCTCACCCCCGGCACACAGAGCGCTCAGTTTGCGGAGCGCTTCGATCGCTGGCTGCAGAACCTGCGCCAGCAACAGCTCCGGCTGTTCACCAGCTGCACTAGTAGGGTAGGGAATGTCGCGAACGACCACACAGAAATCGAACCGCCAGCCGCCGCGGCTCCAATCCAACCCGAACCCAAACTCGATTCCGATTCCCCGCCAGAGCCGGCAATTGATGTAAGCAAGCATATAACTATTTCTCGAACTCGCCGCTAATATCCATTGCAAAAATAAATTGAATCCAAGTGGTGGCAGGCAAATATAAAAACCTCAAAGAACTCTTCGCTTCGGTTGGCCGAAGATCCAATGCCCTGGCAGACGTACAAGAGAATTTAGGCTATTTCCAATCGATTGCTCCTATTGTAGTGGGATAGTGACGTCACAGTATCATAGCACATAGCATATATTAACAGAAGTACACACGGTCACTCTGGCAGCAGGCCCCCTTTTAAATAACAGAGTATGTTAAGCATTAGTGTTAACCCGCAAATACTGTGAGACTACGGCAAGAATAGGAGACATACATTGGATTTAAACAAGATACAAATAAGCACTATCATCCTCTCACACAATTGATATAGTTATCTGATAAGGTTCGGTTAAGATATCAGCAACCCCTTGTGGACGTGTGCTCCAAAAAAGTTGTTATATGTTTTATCCGATCGATTGTTCCTTCAGGTTCCATGTTATATAACAGTCCGTTTCAATAAGGGTTAACAGATGTGAAATGAGAAGCTTTTGATTGCTGAGTTTGCTCGGAATATCTATATAAACAAAAGACTTTCCATAGATTTACGAGCGTGCCTTTTTATAGAGCTGTATAATATAGTATAGTCTGATTAAGTTTTAGATTAAGATATCTTGATAAGCCAAAAAGTTTTGCATAAACTTCCGACTAATCATTCCCAAGGCATATTTGTCTGATCCGGCCAATTTCGCCATATGCAACAGAAGAGCAGTCGTAAAGATAGCTTTAAGACCGAGAGACTCTGCATCTAAATATGCCTTGGGAATCGACTCCCCGCAAGGGCAATAACATTTTAAAACAGGGACAGTTGCCACACGCAGCGGCAAGCTGCTCTCAAGTATGCGCCACGGCTGTTGGCTGTTGCACTTGAAGCGGGCCAAGCAGCCAAAGTACGTACTTAAGTCGGTCGCCAGACGTCGGACCTGGTCACGATGGGGCGGCGACAGCGTCAATTGCAGCCTAAACGAGCCGAAGGTTTTTTAATTGCGCCCAATTGAAAGTGTGTGTGTGTGTAGACCGAGAAGCCACCTAGATTAGATGCACGCATTTGTGTTGCTTGACCCGAGACACACAGAACCTTAATCGATCCGAATCGGTAACTAAACTAATTCAAATTTGTGATTTCTTGTTGCAGGAGGTGCCTTCGAGGGCGTCATCGACGACAATGTCTCGCCGTTCGGTTACATGAAGGGCGAGGGCATCGATGCCGGTTGCGGCGAGCACGAATGGATATGCAACAAGGATAAGCCGCGCACAGATGCCATCTTCAACGGGCTGGGACCGGTAGATGGCAAAATCTCCGGCTCAAGTGAGTCAAATATAGTTACCTCCCAATCGAATAGCAATTAATCCAACTATTCTTAATTGCAGCTGCCAAGCAGGAGCTCATCAAATCGAAACTGCCCAACTCGGTGCTTAGTAAAATCTGGAAATTGTCCGACATCGATTGCGATGGTTTTCTGGACATTGATGAATTTGCGCTGGCGATGCACTTAATCAACGTCAAGCTGGACGGCTGTGAGCTGCCCAATGCCCTGCCCGAGCACTTGGTGCCGCCGTCGAAGCGTTTCGCCTAATCCTCTCTGGCATTCATACAGAATTCGCACACCCTTCCCTACCACACACACAAAAGACCGAGCTCCTATGGAATAATATGCTGCACTCGTGTTTCTTGTTTCGTTTCGTTTCGCAGAAATTGTCTTTTTATATGTACTTTATTTGTCTATAAAATTGCTAAACTGGGTTTTTTTTAGCCCCATCAAAGCATTGTGGCATAAAACTAAATAATATCAGAGAAAAAAAAATCAAGCATGCATAAATTCATAGAATTTACACAAGAAATATTTTTGGATAACAATCAATTTTAAATTGTACAGCGAGAAGGAATTAATAATACATATATGAAAAAACTAGCTAGTGGAATTATACAAAATGAAACAATTCAGTCCTGTATATGCGCCGCCTAGAAAGAAAGAAAAAGCCGACGTCAAATGTTGATTTAAGAGAAAAGTACATAATAATCACTTGTTCAATGATATAATAATAATAATAATGAATAATGAAAAAAGGCACTAAATAAAAACGTATACAATATGTAGGCTTAAATATGTTTATGCCCTTTGAAGAAGTTTGCCGAAAACTGAACCACTTTTGATATACATATTTTATATATAGATATATACAAACATACACATATTGAAGTTGATCGAAAGTAACATACATATTTATTTTGCAATCATGTTTAATTTATCCATGCAATGAAAATTGTGCAATTTGTTGGTTTTTAGTAGAGCAATTAAATGCCTTTGCGTCTTATTTAGTGAATTCTTGAATAATAATTAATGTGAAATGAAAATTACTTTAAAAAGTATGTAAATTACGAATAAAATGAATAGTTTTGAAAATGACCTTTAAACAAATGAAAAAAAAAACAACGGTTAACTGTGCGCCATATGGTCACACTGCGTTTAGCAAAACGCCAAGTTGACAGTCTTCGATATCGATAACGAACGACAATCGGTAGCTAGTTCTAGCATACTTGTTATTTGGCGTTAGTTTGATTGACATTACATTTACAAGCCGGCTTTTTCTGCTTTTAATTATTGCTTTAAAATGGCCAGCTACGAGGAAGTTAAGGATGTGCCCAACCAACCGTCAACATATTTAGTTGATGTGCGCAACAAGACCGAGTTGGCGGAGACGGGCGTATTGCCCGCTAGCATTAACATACCCCGTGAGTAGTTAAGATATGTACATAGATTAAAATTAAACCAACAAAACTAATTACATGAGTCATGCTCCAATTGTATGTACACCACAGTGCCTGAGCTGGAAAAGGCCTTTAACCTGCCGGACAAGGATTTCGAAAAGTCCTACGGCCGAGCCAAGCCGCCAATTGACGCCGTGCTGATATTCTCCTGCAAAGCCGGAGGCAGAGCTGCGCGTGCCGCCAACCTGGCCAAGACCCTGGGCTTTGTCAAGTAAGAATTCACTGGCTCGTACATAAGAATGTATATTTATTAAAAAACAAAAAACACCTAATTTTCAGCGCCAAGGCCTATGCCGGCTCCTGGACCGAATGGGAGCAAAAGCAGGCCCAATAAATTAAGACTAAAACTCGAGAAATAACCATAATAAAAATTAATTGTGAAATTAAACTTTGACCTCCTGCAGCTCGCCCCAGCTGCGGCCTATTTTCAGCTTCACCCGCAGCGGCACATTTAGCTTCACGCAATTTTCCATCGTTAGACTTAAGACTTTGGCGACTTTTTTTGCTTTGTCCGCGGGCACCTCGAAGATGAGCTCGTCGTGCAGATGCAACACCAGATTGACGGTATTCTCGGCCAAGCCCAGCTTCTGCCGATAACGTCCAATATTCTTCTCCATGCGCAAAATGGCGCTCTTGGCTATGTCCGCGGCGGAGCCTTGTATCGTCGAGTTGATGGCCTGGCGCTCGGCTTGATCTGCAAGAGAGATTCAGGTTTAACAACGTGCTTCTGCAAGGGGAAGTTCAGGTGGACAGACTCTTGAGCTGCGGCTCGCCGCTGTTGATGTGATCCAGATAGCGTCGTCGCCCGGTTATGGTCTCCACGTAGCCGTTGTTGCGCGCAAACTTGACGACCTTCAGCGCATAAGCTCTGCAAATTTAAGGAGTATACATTAATTGACTACTCTTTGGAGCAGGTCCACACCCACTTGATGCCCGCGTATGCCAGGTGGAACTGCTCGGAGATCATTTGTGCCTCCTGTTCCGTGCATTTGAGCGATTCGGCCAAGCTGCGCATGCCCATGCCGTAGACAATCCCGTAGCAGATCTGCTTGGTGCCGTTGCGCAGCTGCTCGGAGACATCGGACTCGGCTATTTTGTTCCAGTGCGCCGCAATGGCCGTGAACAGATCCTGCGGCGAGTTCATCACCTTCAGCAGCGCCTTGTCCTGCGACAGATGCGCCAATATGCGCATCTCCAGCTGACAAAAGTCCGCCGAAAGCAAACAAAGCTTCTCGTTCATTGGCGCAAAGCTGCTCCGGCAGGATATATTTATACGCTCGCTGCCCAAATCGATCTGAAAGTCCTTGGCGACATTCTGCAGATTCGGCTCCGACATGGAGATGCGTCCGGTGGCCGTATACGTGATGCTCTGGCCGTGCACACGATTCGCCTGGCAGCACTTCAGCAGCGGCTGCATATTCTTCGCGAGCAGCATGCTCAGCTTCCGATAGTCGAGGATTAGCTGCGATATGGGCGAATCGAGTTTCTCGAGTATTTGACGCGAGGTGCTGATGCGTCCGTTTGCCTTGCGATGCAGTCCCAGCACCTTGGCCACGGCCTGTGTGGAGCCCAGATTGAAGCGCGAGCCGTGCAGCTCATAGATCTTCCCCTCCAGCTTCTTCATGGTGGCGAGCATCTGCTGGAAGAGACGCTGCAAACGCTGCTCCTTGGCCGGAAAGCCAAGGCATTCCATGTTGCACAGCGACATCTGGACGGGCATCTCCAGCTCTGTGGAAGAGATTAGCTAGGAGTTAGTGCGTCTTTGAAGGATATTCAAACCAACCTCTGAAGAACTTAAGCAGCTGCCCGGTGCCAATCCTCTCCAGATTCTCCAGCTGCCCGTTTAGGATGTGCACGGTAAGGCACGCCTCGATGGAGGAGCGCACCTTGGCCAGAATGGCGCTGCTGGCGTCCAGTCCGTAGCTGCTGTAGCCGCGCCCGCTGCCGCACAGCTGCGACAGCGACGTGCACTCCGGCGCGAATTGCTGGCACTGCAAGGAGCAACTCTTCGTTAATTTGGGGCAGCTCAAGGGGAACAGAGATCTTTACCATATTTGGAAAGCTGAGCGTCTTGTCCGGCTGCAGCAGCCAGTTGGCCACCTTGGGATCCTCCAGCTTAACCTGAATGTGTTTCAGCTGCGGCAGCGCCTGACGCAGCGCCTTCAGCTGATCCTTGGCGTCATGGATGAGCAGCGTCAGCTCCGTTCGGCTCAACAAGCTGCACAGCTGCTCGACTTTCTGCTCCGTGCTGACCTGGTCCTGCTCCTGCTCCTGCTCCAGCTGCATGTTCATGTAGTAGACGACATTGTTAGCCAGGCAGAAGGCAATCCCGGCCAGATAGGCGCCATCGTCCACCTGGAAGAGCAGCTTTTGGCCAGCGGCAGCCTCCCGTTGTGCAGCCGCCGCCACCTGGTTGATCAGCAGATTGGCGCCAATTAGTGGCTTCCTTTGGCCCGCCTGCGCCTGGAGGCCAATGCTGAAGCCGCAGCGGCTCGCCTTGAGCAGCTCCTCGGAGGCCAACTGGAAGAGCTGCCTGTTGCCGCAGATGTCCACAATGTCAATGTTGCTGAAACTGGACGCATGCTCATCCGTCTTGGAGCAGCTGAGTATATGCGAAGCATTCAGCTGCAGCGGATGCTTTATCAGCGACGAGTTTTCCAGCGACAAATCGGAGAGCTCCATGGAGGAGGCGCCATTCGATGTAAATGCCTCTTCCAGCTTCACTTCTGGCCGCGTTGCCGGTTTCGGACTCGATCGCAGCCGAAGGGAGCGCATCAGACGCGAGGCATGCGGCGTTAGAGCTCCACGAGGCAGCTGCTCCGGCGATTCCTTGGGCTGTGAGCTGGGTATCTCATCGACAGGAGCTTTGCTCTCCGCTGCCGTGAGCGCTGCCGTCAGGCCCGTGTTCAGCAAGAAGGAGTCGTCGTCGTCGAAGAGCTCCTGCTCCTGCTCCACGGCTGCGGTTGTTCCGCCATGATTCCGTGGACTGCGTCGCGGCAGCTGCGTGGGCGTGATCGCTGCACGGATCGATGTGGGCGTGGTCGCCGCCTTGATCAATGTGCTGGGCGTCTTGAACACTTTGGACATATTCTCCTTTGTGTTGTCCATTTTTGTGGGCGGCGTTTGACCGGGCATCTGCTCCGCTGGCGCCTTGCTGGGCAATCCTTGGCGCACATTTTCCATTTCGGCGCGTCTTTTGTTGATTTTCATCATGGCCACGAGACGACGCTCCTCAATCTCCTTCCGGAGCAACTCCTTGCGGCAGGCGGCGCTCGTGCTGGGCTTCTCCTCGGCCTGGAGACTGGCTGTGCTCCCGGTGCTCAGCTGGTTGCGCTCAGCAAGGGGTTGTCGAGTCGGTTTTGGACTGGGTTCTCTTACTTTTCCTTCTACTTGCAGGGGATCCTTGGGATTAGCCGGCTTTGGCTGGGCTTTGCTTGATTCTTGCCTGGAGTCGAGCATGTTGGCGACTTTTGGGATCAGCTTGGAACTGGACTGCTTGACTAATCCTTCTACTTGCAGGGTATCCTTGAGATTTGCTTTTATTACTCCACTCTCTGCCGACTTTGGCTGGGATTTGCTTGATTCTTGCCTGGAGTCGAGTTTGGGACTAGTTTCTCTGTCTATTCCTTTCCCTTGCACGGGATCCTTTCGATTTGCTTTAATTACCCCACTCTCTGCCGGCTTTGGCTTGGAGTCGAGCCTGTTCTGGTCAAGCTTGCGCAACTTGGATGGCAATCCTTTCTCCGCACTGTCTGGTGTCTTGCGCTTGCGTTGGGAGCCTTGGAGCGGCGCCTCCTCGAGCGACATGTGCGGATCCTCGACCTTGCCACGAGGCTGCGCCTTCTCGAGCGACATGTGCAGATCCTCGACCCTCTGCGCTGCGGCTTTGGCCTCCTCCACCTGCGTCCACTGGATGTTGCCCACTCCGATCTCGTATTGGACAAACTGACGCGCCTCGTGGTTGAGTAGCTTGGCCGCCTCGGCGACGGTCATGCCCGCCTTGCCCGTGATGAAGAAATTCCTGGCCGTATTGCGCTGTGCCGCCTCCAGAGCATTCTCGTGCTCCAGCTGCTTGGACGAGTCGAAGCTGAGCGAATTGTGGAGCACCTTTTCTAGTGCCAGCAGATTGGCGCCGGCCAGCTCGACGAGGCTCGTGATGCCGGCATCGTGCAGAGCACGGGCACGCTTCTGACTCAGATCGGGCAGACGCATCAGATCGATCAGATCGCGATGTATGCCAAAATAGAGCCGATCCTTGAACTGGGAGACAATCAGCGAGAGCGTCGACCATTGCAGGGAGTTGCAAAAGGCGGTCACAATGCCCGCAAAGGTGGAGGACATCTGCTGCAGTCCTTGGAGCATGCCGCGCTGGCACTTGAACTTGTGGGCGACCACATTGATGGGCGTCTCGTTGACCAGCTCCTGCAGCGCCAGCGCCGTGTAGAAGCTGCAAGCGACAAATTGCTCGAATCAATCTCTGACTCAATCCCAATCTCTCTCTGATCCGACCTACCGCTTGTGTATCTGCAGCAGCTTGTAGTCCAGCTTGGTTTGGCCGCGCATCGCGCGCACCAGGAACGCCTCCTTCACCCCGACCAACTCTCCGACCTTTTTCATGGCCGGATTCAGCTTCTCCCACATGTCCAGATAGAGCAGCCAGTCGACCTCTTGGAGCTGATAGCACACGGAATACGGCGTCACCAGATAAACCGCATGCAGCTCCGACTCGAGCACAAAGCAGCGACGCGACTTTTGCAGCTCCGCGAAGAGTATCAAACCATCCGTTGGAGGCATCGATGAGGCCAGACAGGCGGCGCCCAAACGTGTGGCCATATAGTTCTCCACATCCGTCTCCTCGTCCGTTTGCAGGCGTATGAACTCGTACTCCACGAGAAAGTCGAGCGCAGCCGCAATGTAATCCTCCTGCTCCTGCTCCTCTTGGGGTTGCGCACTGAGCAGCGTGCACTGGAAGAAGCTATCGATGTCCTGCCGCGTGCTCGCCACACCCGACGAGATGACCTCGAGCAGCGCGCGCTTCAGATGCATCTGCAAAAAAACTTTTTGAAAACATTTGATGGGAAAACTGAGTGTCACGCCTTACGCCTCCATCCAGATCCAGGCAGGATCTAATGGGCTTCAGCTGTGCTGTGATTAGTTCCCGGCCGATGCGCGCATTGTTCTCGCTGCAAATGAGTATGGATTCGCCCAACGTATCCCTGCCCGTGCGTCCGGCACGCCCGATCATTTGCCTGTAGGTCAAGGAGCTCATCTGTTTGCCGCCAAACAAGGGCGAACGGATGAGCACACGGCGCGCGGGCAGATTGACGCCCGAGCTGAGCGTGCTGGTGGCCACAAGGATCCTCAAGACGCCCGCCTTGAAGCTGGCCTCGACAATGTCGCGCTCCTCCGTGGTGAGGCCGGCGTGATGAAACGAGCACGCATAGCTAATTGCCTTGGACATGACCGAGTCGAGACCTGTAGGCATTAATTGGCACGGGATTAAATGGAGTATATGGATTACGTGGACCTACCTGTGGGTATGTCGCGCAGCTGCCGCTTCACATCCTCAAGAGCCGCCCGATTTAGTTGGGAGCTCAGCTTCCTGGCCAGCTGGCTGTCGGATTTGAGGAGCGCGTGCATCGCTCCGGCCAGCTGCACGGCCAGATTCTCGCACCAATCCTTCGAGGGACAAAAGACGACAACGGAGCAGCCCTCGAGCAGCGTCTCGATGCACAGTTGCGCCACATGGTCGCTGTCGTTGGCCAAGGCGGGCAGCTCCAAGGAGCCGACATCGCGCAGGAAATGCAGCCGATTGTCGTAGATTTTGGTGCCCACCTTGATCATCTCCTGCAGCGCGACGGGTCGATAGTCCGTCACGTAGAGCTCGGCGCTGAGCCAGCGCTGCAGCAGCTCCACATTGGCCAGCGTGGCGGACATGGTTATCACCTGGATTTGCAGCGCCTTCCGGCGCGACATATACAGAATCTTGGCGAGCAACAGCTCCAGGATGTAGCCGCGTCCCGGATCGGAAATGAGATGCACTTCGTCAACGATTACGGTGCCAAGTTCGTCGAGTTTGCCCAGCTCCAGCAGCTTGTTGACAATCGAATTGGCCTTCTCGATCGTGCAGATAGCCACATGGATGCTCTCGAAGCCGCCGGGCGGCGTGTAGCAGCCGTAGAAGCCCTCCACACGGTAGCCAGCGGGCGTCAGCAAATCCTGCAGATAGAACATCTTCTCACGGACGACCGATATGAAGGGCAGGATGAGCAGCACCTTCTTGTTGCGCTCCAGCACGGTCTTCAGCAGCAGAATCTCGCTGACCAGAGTCTTGCCCGCGGACGTCGGAGCCGAATAGACCAGATTGCAGTGCTCGAAGAGCACCCGGGGCTTGCTGAGGCACTCGACCTGCCAGTCGAACATGCGGACCACGCCCTTCTTCTTGTACTCGCCGAGCACGCTGTGCGGCAGATTCCACGACGAGATTAGCCGCAGGGCCTCCAAGTCGACGGGCAGCTGTTCCTGTGGACTGTTGGGCGAGAGGCGCAGCTGATTGGGTGACATGCTGCTCAGGTTCTGGGTCAGCTTCGGGGTCAGCTTCTGCGTCTGGGTGAGACTCTGCTTGGCCAGTTCGCAGCGACTGCGCATGAGATCCTGCTGCAGCTGATGCGACGCCAGCGCTGGTCCCAGGAAGCTGCTCTCGTCCAGGTTGGCCAACTCAATTGGGGAATCACTTCTACTCGGAGCAGGCTCCGTTTCCGTTTCCGTCTCCGTGCCGAAGACATCTTCCGTGCAGATTTGCGCCTCAAAAACGGACGTCGTGTTGAGATTCTCTTCAAGCACTTCAGTGTGCGCCTCCAAATCCGCCTGGATTTGGGAGACACGCATCAGGGATTCCTCCTGCTTTTTACCATACGAAAAGTCATCCTTGAAGAACTGCGAATATTGTTCGCAGCTGCCGTTAATTGTTGTTGTTGTTCGTCCCAACTTGGAATCGGATTTACTGCGTCGGAATTGGTGGCGCTGTGATGCATTCGATCTGTTTGTGCTGGATTGGGTGTAAATACGCTGAGATTTTGTTTTCAATTTTGGCGGCGATTCTTGGATAATTTCCAAGGCATTTGTTTCTTGTTTTGCTTTTAAATCGTTCTCCAGTTTCATGAACGTGCTGTCGCCAAACTCAAAAGATTGTGAAAATGCCATAATTTGTTAATTATCTATTTAATAAAATATTATATTACAATTTAATAAAACTACAAATAAAAAACAAAAATAAACAAAAAATTCCCGCGGTCTTCCAAGTGCGGACTGCCAACTGATTCCACATTACGGCATTTTTAGTACATTATTTACGATAGTTGTGTCGATGCTGTTAATAATGTCATCGATAGCTGCACATCAACTTACGATAGTTTTATGTATGCAAATCAAATACAAAAATTGATATCACTACCTATACAATTGTTAGTATATATATATATTTGTATATATATTATATGATTAGTGATAATATAGAACAGTCTGTGCCCAAAAATATATTGATATGTGCGGTATTTTTGATACGATAGGCTGTGGAAGTAATATCGCCAGATATCGTTAGCGCAAACATATCGATAGAAGTTCCGATAATTTGCGTACATCTCTAACGTACACAGAATTGCCAATTACCATCAAAGCCGAAAAGATACCAAAGAAAGGCGTTCGCAGGCCATGCGAAAACGTTTTGGCGGAATTGCAATATGATGGACGATTTCAAGGTGCCAGTTTCACCAGCCGCACCAGCCAGAAGCGAACATTTCGACGATGATCCGATGCCGACAGCTCCCAAGCCCAAAACGAACAGTGGCTGCCCCTACAAAGTGCCAAAATGGTCGCAGGCGCCTCCAGCTGAACAGGAATATAGATTCGAGGTGCTTAAGTCAGGTCAAATCATTGACGAAGTAAAGGATCTGCAGCAGCAAGCCATCTGGACCTTTGGCCGGCTGCCCGACAACGATGTGGCCATGGCGCATCCCACAATATCGCGATACCATGCCGTGCTCCAGTACAAGCCAAAGGCAACTCAGGAGGAGGAGGACGCGGACAGCTCGAAGCCCGATCAGCCCGAAGGCTGGTACATCTACGATCTGGGCAGCACACATGGCACCTTCCTCAACAAACAGCGCGTGCCGCCGCGCGTTTTCATACGAATTCGTGTCGGCCATATGCTGAAGCTGGGCAGCAGCACCCGAGTCTATATACTGCAGGGTCCCGGCGACGATGAGGAGCCCGAATCCGAGCTGTCGGTAACGGAGCTACGTGAACAGCGGGAGCAACAAGTGGCGGCAGCGGCCGCCGAAAAGCAGCGCAAGGCACTTGAAGCCGAGGAGCGGGAACGTAATGAAGGCGCCAGCTGGGGCATGAGCGAGGACGCGGACGAGGAGACCGATCTGGCGCACAATCCGTACGCGAGCACCAACAACGAGGAGCTATTCTTTGACGATCCCAAGCGCACGCTGCGCGGCTTCTTCGAACGCGAAGGCCTCAATCTTGAGTACAAATGCGATGAGCTGTCGCAAGCCTCGTTCGTTTGCCGTGTGGAGCTGCCCATAGACGACTCCAATGGCCGGCCCATTGTTGTGGAGGTCACGCACAAGGGTCGCAAGAAAGATTGCGTCGTGCAGTGCGCCTTGGAAGCGTGTCGCACGCTCGACCGGCACGGCGTGCTGCGGCAGGCGAATCAGGAGTCGCAGAAGCGCAAGCACCCGATGAAATCCGGCGACTCCGATGACGAGGACGAGTTCTGGGATCGCACGGGCGATGTGGCCAGGAAAAAGCAACGCAAGGCAAACACCAGTGCAAGTGTTACGCTCACCTACGACGACTTGGTAAAGGAACATTCGCTTTAAATAATCAATTAATTAATTACTTTTCATTAATTACTTTTTTAGCTGAAGCAGGAGCTGGAGCTGGATGCAGAGCTGCAGAAGGTCGAGCAGGAGATCGGCGCCTACCAGCAGAACGAGAAGCGCCTCAAGGAGCTGGCCGTCCAGCAGCAAAGCGACGGCGACGATCTGGACAACTTCATGGATACGCTCAGCGAAAATGTCACGCAGCTGGACAAGACAGAGATTAAAAAACTGAGGGTAAAGTCGAGCAAATCCACATATATTTATTTATATATTATATAACTTATGTCTTATTTGAAGATGGAGCAGCAAAGGATTAAAAGCGAGCAGCAAAAATTGCAGCGCCTCATAAAGATTGCCAAGCCGACGGACTTGCCATTTGTGACGCCCAACAACAAGACGTTGGACTCGAATGTGGCCAAGAAGCAGCTGCCGATGATTGGCAAGCGAAATCAATTTAGTAAATTTAAGGTGGTCAAAGCGGCGCCGAGCGTGCGAGCCAAGGCAGCCGACGAGCAGGAAGTCGAAGAGGAGGAAGAGGAGCAGGAGGAGAAGGAGAAGGAGGAGAAGGAGGAGGAGGAGGAGGGGAAGGAGGAGGCGCAGCAGTTGGAGGAGTTGACAAAGGAAACAGTTGCAAAGCCAGCAGCAGGAGAAGCCTCAAAGCAAGTAAAGCCAACGGCTGAGCCGCAAGTGGAACCGGACAAAAGCCAATTCCTTAAAGCTATTGAAGCGTCAGCTGAAACACCAACAGATCCAACTGAACCGGAGGAGGAGAGTGCCGATGAGGATGAGGAGGCGGCGGCTCACAAGAAGCGACGTCAACGGGCGCGACAACGGAACAGCAAGCAGCGCCAAGATGTGGACATGGATCTCAATGAGCTGGCCGAGCACGAGGATAGCGAAAAGTACGCCAAGTGGGTGCCGCCCACCAATCAAAGCGGGGACGGCTTTACGCACCTGAACGAAAAGTTCGGCTACTGAAAATACATTTAACTAGCGCTAAGCATAAATTCAAGTGTCTAACTAAAATATGTGTCTAACTAAAATATTATTAAGTTAAGCCATTAAATATTAAAAAATTTTTTTTTATATTTAAGACCTAGCAAAGCCTTAAACTTGTTCTATATTTTCTTCAAATTTGAATTTTAAGCCCAAAACGATTTATTCTAAAATCCGTGCGCTTCTCAACCCTATCTAAAATATAATTTAGCTAAGGCATTATATTTACAATTTTTTTTATTTTTAATTTGGATTGGATCCTGCTCTTTAATTTCTTTAAATTTAAATCTAAACTTCGAAACGATTTATTCTAAATGTGGGAAGCCTGCCGTGAGCTTCTCACCACACTGTTTGCGTATTCCCCACAGCTTGGCTGTGATAAGCCGCAGCTACCCCAGTTCCAGTTCAGTATGTTTTCCAGCCAGACTGTTGTTGCCTTCCAGTGGAACGAATGAACACATTACGAATTCCTGCGCACGTATAGAGAATGAATGCGGATTGTCGGTTGATTGCGCCGCTGTTAAGGCTCCAGCACTTGAACTTCCAATTCAGTTATAATTTTGCTACTCTTTTCGTCGGAACGGCGAACGGTTGAGCGTGCCACGAGTTTTTTTAGTTAACCGAAAAACGTCGAATCACATTTGTTTTCAATTTACAAAAAAAAAAAAAAACCATAATTAATTTAATTATTTATATCAACTTTGACAATTGAGTTTGCTTGAGCTAATTAAATTTGTTTTAATGCGGTCGCCACGTGCTTTCTCAATAGCCGGAGCACATGTGTGGGTTACATTTTAAAACGCGTAACAGTCCGTCTCAAAAGACGTCCCTGCGTTGGGGCGACTGCTGCCTGTTGTTGTTGGCCCGCGTTTAGCTAATCTCCAAGATATTCCTGGCAAAAAACACTCTGTTTCCTATATTAATTAACTGGTAGTTCAATTCGTGTCGTCTGTGATCTGATCGTATGAAAAAACATAACTCACTTGTTTAGGAAATGTTGCATAAGACAAGGCGCATTTGATTGGCGCGCGCATTTGCCGTCGTTAAAAGCAGCCACACATAACTTAACGCCTGCTTTGAACTTGGCACACTCACACACACTCGCCCACACACACACGCACACTTAAAGGTTTTACCATAGCTAAGGTGAGTTCGATTGCCCGCAAATGCAGTGGGACATGCGCAAAGATTGCGGCCTTCTCTCTGCCTGCCTCTAGGAGCAGCGCTTCCCCTTGGAAACTCTCTTGTTGTTGTTGTTGCTGTTGTTGTTGTAGTTGTTGTTTTTGCTTAATTGCCATTTATTTTGTGAATGAAGCTCTGCTCGCTTGATTATTGTTGTTGCGTACCGTTTAAATATACTTGACTCGTGTAGATATCAGAGCAAAAAAAAGTTCACTGTTCACAATGGTTCGCCTTAAGGTTCGGTTCAGGGCTGCAAATACACAGGGCTGCAAATTCAAATAAAAGCAATTAAGTTTCGGCTCGTTAACTCAGGCTAACATAATCTTGAGTCCAGCTTTTGTTATTGTTATGTTAATGTTAATGAAACAATTAAATTAATAATTATTATTTATTATTATTATTATTTATTATTATTATTATTTTTATTATTAAAAACATTATTTAATGTCAGTCATAGTTTTATATACAAATTGCGGTCTAAATTTTGCTCTTTAAAAGAAATTGACATCTATCAAACATGGTTAGATAAATCCAATGATTAGTGCTCAATTTTTAAAAAGTTTCTGGTTCGGTTCGGCACTCTGTTCGGTTGTTTTGTGGGCTTGTTTTAAGTTTTGGTTCATAGTAAAGGATAAATTGGAGTTCCGTGCTCGAACTGGTTCGGTTCAAACTCGTTTTGCAGCTGTGATAGATATACATTCATTTTTATCGTAAATCTTCATTTTTATCATAAATCTTCATTTTTATCGTAAATCTTTATTTTCATCGTAAATCTTCAGTGTTAATCGTAAATCTTCAGTATTTATCTTAAATTTTTAGTGTTTATCGTAAATGTTCATTTTTATCGTAAATCTTTATCTTTATCGTAAGCCTTCATTTTTATCATAAATCTTCCTTTTTATCGTAAATCTTTAGTGCTTATCGTAAATCTTTTTTTAACGTAAATCTTCATTTTGATCGTAAATCTTAAGTGTTTATCGTAAATGTTCATTTTAATCGTAAATCTTCACTTAGCACATACTCGACTCATACAGTTATTATAGATTGTATCCATCCAGCCTGACTAATTGGCGGCTGTCGCTTAACATAATTGGTGAGAACCTTTTAAAGCAGCTCCTATTGCAATTTGCCGCGTTGTTAGTTAATTGGGCGCCATTTAGAGGGACAGCGCAGGAGAAAATAAGTGCAGAATGTCATTGCGCCTCATTTGGCTCATGGCTTATCCTTGCGCAAAGGTCAGTTGCGGGCGGTTGGCCTTGGCTAAGGGGGCGGTGGGAGGGGCGGGAGAGGGGGGTGTTGTAAAATGCAATAGCTTCATATTTAATGCTGCATGAAAACTTAATTGACAAACAAGAAGGAACAGACTGGAAAGGGTCAAGCATATCCTAGTAGTTATATAATAGAAGTTCTCTGTTATTATTTTCTTTAATATTTTTATTTAATATTATAATTATTAAATATTTACTTTGCTACAAATTATTCATTTGAAAATACTGAAAAATGGAATTGTTATTAAAAATATCATTTGCATAATTATTTTGATTTTAATTATTATGGGATTTAACCCAGAAATATAAATTTGACCCTATACATATCGATTTTTTAAACTTTTTGAAAAGTTTTCATTTAAATTTCTATAATAATGTAATAGAATTCAGGATCGATTATTTCTATAGGATGTGCATGATATAGTGATAAGATTTGGCCTAAACACAGCTGAATATTATTATGCTTTAATTAAATTATTATTATTTAAATTAAATTAAAAAAAAAATGAATATGCCAAGTTTGATGCAATTAAAAACTGAGAGATTAGTTCAAGTGGAAGAAGTATGCTTGTGTGCGTTGCATATACCCTACGCCTAAACCCTTTCCTAGGGTATATAAAGTGCAATCTGAGCGCATGCGAAGCTATTTATAATTATGCTCCAGGCCAATCCTCACTCCAGTCTCCACTCTCTGTAAGGTCAGACCCAACGCAAAAGTATTAACTTCCAAGCCAGAAGTCTTTGCCCGAAAGGAAAGGAATCCCTTTAGCGCAACAAGATGATCAGCATCGCCGGCTTGGCGAGCATTGTGCTCTTCTATGCTCTAATCCTGGCCGTGGGCATTTGGGCGGGCCGCAAGAAGCAGGCGGGCAACGATTCCGAGGAGGAGGTCATGCTGGCGGGTCGCTCCATCGGACTCTTCGTCGGCATCTTCACCATGACAGGTGAGTGGGATGAGTCAGCCGTGAATCCCCGACTAAGCTAAACCGTATCCGTAATCCTCCAGCTACTTGGGTGGGCGGGGGCTACATAAACGGCACGGCGGAAGCGATATACACCTCGGGCCTGGTCTGGTGCCAGGCGCCCTTTGGCTATGCGCTCAGCCTGGTCTTTGGTAAGATTCCCAATCCTTCTTCCGCTTGATTGTGTACTGATTCCCTTTGTTCAGGCGGCATCTTCTTTGCCAATCCCATGCGCAAGCAGGGCTACATAACCATGCTGGATCCTCTCCAGGATTCGTTTGGTGAGCGCATGGGCGGCCTTCTGTTCCTGCCCGCGCTCTGCGGCGAGGTTTTTTGGGCTGCCGGCATTTTGGCCGCCTTGGGCGCCACATTGTCGGTGATCATAGACATGGATCATCGCACCTCGGTTATCCTTTCGTCCGGCATTGCCATATTCTATACGCTCTTTGGCGGACTCTATTCGGTTGCCTACACGGATGTGATTCAGTTGTTCTGCATCTTTATTGGCTTGTGGATGTGCATACCCTTCGCCTGGACCAATGAGCATGTGCGCAGCCTCAGCGACATGGAGGTGGACTGGATTGGCCATGTCGAGCCAAAGATGCGCTGGTACTACATCGACTATGGCCTGCTGCTGATCTTTGGTGGCATACCCTGGCAGGTGTACTTTCAGCGCGTGCTCTCCAGCAAGACGGCGGGACGGGCACAGCTGTTGTCCTATGTCGCCGCCGCCGGCTGCATCCTGATGGCCATTCCGCCCGTGCTCATCGGCGCCATAGCCAAGGCGACCCGTGAGTACTACCAGCTAATCTCCAGCTTAATCCTGGCTAATCCTTGCTCAATCCTTGCCAGCCTGGAACGAGACGGAGTACACGGGTCCGTATCCGTTGACCGTGGACGAGACCAGCATGATTTTGCCCATGGTCCTGCAATATTTGACGCCCGATTTCGTGTCCTTCTTTGGACTCGGCGCCGTCTCCGCCGCCGTCATGTCCTCCGCGGACTCCTCCGTGCTTTCCGCCGCCTCGATGTTCGCACGCAACGTCTACAAATTGATATTCCGCCAGAAGGCATCCGAAATGGAAATCATTTGGGTGATGCGCGTCGCCATCATAGTTGTGGGCATCCTGGCGACCATCATGGCCCTGACCATACCCTCCATTTACGGACTATGGTAATGTACCCTAATCCTTTCTAGCACTTCATCTGATTTAGTCCCTCGACTCTTTGCAGGTCCATGTGCTCGGATCTGGTGTATGTCATCCTGTTCCCGCAGCTGCTGATGGTCGTCCACTTCAAGAAGCATTGCAATACCTACGGCAGCCTGGCTGCCTATATTATTGCCCTGTTCATCCGGTTGTCCGGAGGCGAGGCCATCTTGGGTCTGCCGGCGCTTATACACTATCCGGGCTACGATGTGGAGACGAATACGCAGCTGTTTCCCTTCCGCACCATGGCCATGCTGATCAGCCTGATCACGCTCGTCTTTGTCTCCTGGTGGACCAAGTGAGTATTTCCCGGGCTTTTATCCCAATCATCCCGTTGTGAATCCGTCTCCCGCTGCAGAATGATGTTCGAGTCCGGCAAGCTGCCGCCCAGCTACGACTATTTCCGCTGCGTGGTCAACATACCGGAGGATGTGCAGCGTGTCGGTGATCCGGCCGAGTCCGGCGAGCAGCTGTCCGTCATGGCGGGTCCCCTGGCGCGCTCCTACGGCGCCGCCACCATGGCCGGCAAGGATGAGCGCAACGGACGCATCAATCCGGCACTGGAGTCCGACGATGATTTGCCCGTGGCCGAGGCAAGGCGCCTGAATCAGCAGACGGCGCAGTCGCAGGTCCAGAAGATGATCGACTCGGCCACAGGCAAGGCGGGCGGGGGCGGCGGACAAAGTCAGGGCGTGGCCATGCCCACGCCGGAACAGGATAATACGGCCTTCTGAGCGAAGTCCGCCTCCAAGGTCGGCGACTTTTAGTTACTACAAATTATGTTTGAGTTGGGCTTTGTTTTTTTTGAGGATGTATACATCACGCGCGATGTATATTTGATGTACGTTAAACACACAAGTGCTCAGGTATAAAGTGCAGAATGTTGCGTTTAAAGTTTATAATTATTTTGCCATAGTTCTAAATATAGTTTCTGATAGAGGGATAAAGCTTTTTAATTTAATTAATTAATTAATTTTATTATAATTTTAATTTGTCATTAAGGAGGCTTTGAGTAGAGTAAATGGAATACATATAGTTCAATTGACGCGTTAACCAAATGTATAAATGTTATATAAAACGATAAACTGATCGATAAGTCGATAAACGCGAAATCGATAAACGTGAAATCGATAAACGTGAAATCGATAAACGTGAAATCGATAAGCGTGAAATCGATAAACGTGAAATCGATAAACGTAAAATCGATAAACGTGAAATTGATAAACGTGAAATCGATAAACGTGAAATCGATAAAAAAAAACATATCAATGAAAACTGAAAGCAACTGAAAACATATCAAATGCATTTCCCATTTGCGCGAGAAATGCATACAAATACGTATTATTCAATAGAGTTTAAAGAAGAAGAACGAACATATATACCTATATATAGTATAAATGATATATATAATATATATTTTATCCCGTCACGTTCATTTGTTTCGTGTCATTTATGTAGCTGAAAAAAAAATTGGCAATTTTATTGATCCTAACAAATTTAGGTGCATATAATGTGAATCATGTGTCCTTCCACAAATAAATCAAAGCTGACTAAACGTACAGAAAGTAATTAAAGAAATACTCAAATAGAATGCAATAAATAACTAATACATATCAACTGAAGAATGAATAGAAAATGCAAATGGAATATAAGTTAGTGGAGCGTTATATAGACAAAAGAATTTTAGCTGCTCTCAAAGAGCGAAATATGCCCCAAAAAAAAAACCCAAAAGCTATACCAAGATCATAGTACCTACAATTACCATATACATACAAATATTTATATATAAATATATATATATATATAAATATATATATATATAGAGAAGGCAATTGAATTTAGAAAGTTTATACCAGCTGGTCTCTGATAACCGAAACCAAAATACAAAACTATTGAAAAGTTTTTCATTTCGTAATTCTCTTGGCTCGTTTGTTAAAATTTAGTTCCATCAGCTGCTATGGAACAGATTTAATCTAACTAATATCATATAATATGTGTTATATAAAACTTGATAAGGTTTAAGTAATTAAATGTTGACTGCTTTTTGATTGAACTTTACCTAAGCAAATTGTAAAAGTAAAAGCATACTATATACTATATACTATATATATATATATATATCTGTTCTTGCTGTTGTTACCTGCTGTTAATTGTTATATTGTCTCATTTATTTCTCTGAGTGTGTTTCTTTTGCTAAATAGTCGAGTTTGTTTGGGCAACTCTTTAGCAAATTGTTAAATGGAAGTTAAGTCACCTTTTTTGTATATATATAGGAAAGTAACTTAATTGCATTGTTTAAGCAACTTACTAACAACCAAAAACCACCAACTATTTTATGTATTAACAATCTAACGGGATCTGAGCAATGAATTGAACTAGCCAATTAATAGGCAATTATAGGGTATCAGAGCACACGTTCACCCATTATTGTTGTCTAATCAATTGATGTACACATAACATACCCATTAGAGCGGCATATTACAATTATGTTACGATATACAATATATATACGATCAAATTATACCAAAAAAAACGAAAATACATATCAATGTTTAAAGCATAGCAAAAGGCAAACTAAAAAAAAAATGCCAGAGAATAATAAAAAATTATTTAATAAACAAATATATATATATATATATTAAAATGGTTTCTTTGTTGATGCAAATGCCGTGTAATTATTTATGCTTCTGTTTCGCAAGTTAACTCGATTTACATTTATTTACATGTAATGTCATCTTATGCAATGCCAACAAACAAACAAAAGCTGCCTAATGACAAAATTTTAAAACAATGCTAACTCTATTATCGTAAGCGGAAATTTCCCATCATAACAAATGCAGTTTCCACCAGTTGGATGGAGAGGGGGGGGGGGGGAGTCTGCTCCAAGTTAAAGAGCAAATGGCAACTGGATCCAAGCAGCAGAAGATCACAGAGCGAGAGAGAGAAGATCATCTGACGCTGGAGGAGATGTCAGCCTATGTGAAGTATTTATATTGCAGCTCTTAGAAGTAAATTAGTTTACTAATTCGCCTAGGTACACTGGAAGAAAAAGTTGGTTTCGTTTAATTAAACTTAAAATTTAAATTAAGAAGTTGACTTCATTTTAGACATTTTATTTGAAAGACTTCGGATCTCTATAAACATAATTTTATTTATTTATTTTTAATTTTTTAAATTTAAATTTTAAATTTTATTTCATTTTGTTGTCGTTATTTTGTTTTTGAACTTTAAATTAAACTTAGTAGTTTAATAAGTTCTATTTTATTTATTTTTAATTTTTTTAAATTTAAATTTTATTTTATTTTGTTATTTGTTTTTAAACTTGAAATTAAATTAAGAAGTTGACTTCTCATTTTAAACGTTTTGCTTTAAAGTTAATAGACTTCAGATCGCTTCTAAGCTTTATTTTATTTATTTTTTATTTTAAAATTAAAATTTTACTTATTTTAATTCTTTTTGTTTAGAATTTTATTGCTGAAAATCTATAAATTTAAAGTGAATTAATTGGAAGTTTCTAGTTCAAGCTACCGCAAAATTCATATTAATTTATAAACATTTATTTATTTTTTGTTTATTTTTTATTTATTTATCTATTTATTCATTTATTTTTTATTTATTTATTGTATAATTTTTGTTCTTGTGCAGTGCAATTCTTAACTGAAAATTAGTAAAAAGATCTCTTAATTAAGAATTACTTATTATATATTTTAATATTTTTTTAAGACAGCCAAAAGGTAGCCAGCTAAGTTTGTAGGCGTGTAATAGTATATCTAATTTTAAGTTGGGCTCATTATGTTGCTGCACTTGTGCAATTAGCTTGTAATCTTAATTAGATACAAGCCGCAACAAGCCGCAACAAGTTGCCGCTCATCACAAGTTCATATCTGGCGTCGCACAAGAATTGCCCTCTAATTGATGTTGTTGCTGTTTTTGTTGCTGTTGTTGTTGTTGCTGTCGTCGTGGATGTTGCTGTCGTGTATGTTGCTGCTGTGTTGCACATGTTGCTGGCAGCTAAATATCCGGTATTTTTCATGAGATTTGCATAAATATCTTTTGAGCCTTCAACTGTCATTCGGCTGATCGTTTGCTGCCAATTAGCAGGGCGGAAGAATTTCACGAATGTCATGAGTGGAAGTGAGAGGAAGTCATCGCCGAGATCTCACTCAAGAAGTCGAATTCAAATAAGTCAAAGAACAGGCGAGAGCACGACTAGAAAATACCCTTTAACCAGCTCGTGGAAAGGGGAAGGTAAATAAAATGTTTAATAATTGATGTATGCTGCAAATCGATATTTATCGATAATTTAAATTTCTAAAAAGAACCTAGCTGCAAATCGATACTTATTGATAGTTTAAATATCTGAAAAGAACGTATATGCAAATCGATATTTATCGACACTTTAATTTTCTTACAAGAAGAAAGTAGCTGCCAATCGATGTTTATCGATTTCGAGGAAAAATACCCTGTGTGAATGTGGGCGGCACTAAGGAATATAAAATATTCTTCATCTGTGAATAGCTTTTATAATCTTTGAGGTATGCCTAAAAAAATGTAGCTGCAAATCGATATTTATCGACTTTGCCTTCTTCCGCCGATATCTATCGATAATATTTATCGATAATTAAAATTTCTATATAATCCTCAAGATGAACTTCATTCGGAGACACCTTCTTCCTTTCCTTCTTGCCCATTTCAAAATGTTATTTTTTTTTTTTAGAAATAATTGTCTCTTCTTCTTTATTAAACAATCGATAAGTATTATGTCTAACGCATGTTACAACTAAAATTGGGGTCGTACAGCGGGTTTCGAGATTTTCTCAAGATGCGAATAATTTACAATTGAGGTTAATTTTTTTTTCTAGAGCAGCGAATGAGTTTTGGATGAAATGCAGCTGAGCGGATTAGCAGAACTGTGGAGTATTCTAAGGCACTGGATCGAATGTGGCACCCGACTCTCCGACTCCTCCGACTCGTGCTCACTTCTTGCGGTAGGTGTAGCCGCCGTTGGAGCTGTAGCCCTGCTGAATGGTCTCGGGCACCTGGCTGGGCGCCGAGTAGGCGTAGCCGGAATCCTGGGCGGGTGCGCCGTAGGAAGACGCGGGACCGCTGGGAATGCTATCGCCATTGGGTGCGCCATAGCTGCTGGAGGGAGCTGGAGCTGGTGCGCCATAGCTGCTGGAGGGGCCCGTGGAGTAGCCACCGCTGTTGGAGGATGAGGATGATGACGAGCTGGAGCCGAAGGAGGATCCGCCATGCGAGCTAAAGCCGCCGGAGGAATGGGAACTGGCTGGTGCTCCATATGAGCTGGAGGGCGCCGCCGGGTAAGGTCCTCCACTGCTTCCACCTGCACTGGGTGCGGAGTAGGAGCTGGATGGACCCGAGCTTGGAGCTCCATATGAGCTGGAGGGAGCAGCAGGATAGGGTCCTCCACTGCTAGCTCCGGGACTGGGTGCAGAGTAGGAGCTGGATGGAGCTCCATATGAACTAGAAGGAGCAGATGGATAGGGTCCTCCGCTGCTTGATCCTGAGCTAGGTGCCGAGTAGGAGCTTGAAGGAGCTTTCGGTGCACCATATGAGCTAGAGGGAGCTGAGGGGTAGGGTCCACCACTGCTGGAGCCGGAACTAGGTGCAGAGTAGGAGCTGGATGGCGCTGAATAGGAGCTGGATGGAGCAGAGCTTGGTGCTCCATATGAGCTAGAGGGAGCAGCAGGATAGGGACCACCGCTGCTAGCTCCGGGGCTAGGTGCAGAGTAGGAGCTGGATGGAGCTCCATATGAACTAGAAGGAGCAGATGGATAGGGTCCTCCGCTGCTTGATCCTGAGCTAGGAGCCGAGTAGGAGCTGGATGGGGCAGATGCATAGGAGCCACCGCTGCTGGCGCCCGAGCTGGGTGCCAAATATGAGTTAGAGGGAGCCGGTGCCGAGTAGGAGCTGGATGGGGCAGAGCTTGGTGCTCCGTAAGAGCTGGAAGGTGCTGCGGGATAGGGACCACCGCTGCTCGCTCCGGGACTTGGTGCAGAGTAGGAGCTGGATGGAGCTCCATATGAGCTGGAAGGAGCAGACGGATAAGGCCCTCCGCTGCTTGAACCCGAGCTAGGAGCCGAATAGGAGCTGGATGGGGCGGATGCATAGGAACCACCGCTGTTCGCACTTGGGCTGGGCGCGGAGTACGAGCTGGATGGGCCGGAGCTTGGTGCTCCGTAAGAGCTGGAAGGAGCAGCTGGATAAGGTCCACCTCCGTTGGATCCCGAGCTAGGAGCCGAGTAAGAGCTGGATGGGCCGGAGCTTGGTGCGCCATATGAGCTGGAAGGAGCTGCTGGATAGGATCCACCGCTGTTGGCACCTGGGCTCGGTGCGGAGTAGGACGAGGAAGGTGCTCCATAGCTGGAAGAAGGCGGCGAAATCGGATGGAAGGAGCTGGAGCTGGAGCTGGAAGGAGCGCCGTATGATGATGAGGGTGGTGCCGGACCGGCTGGGCCAGAGGCGTAGCCGGAGCTGCCAAGGCTCTGCGTCTTGGAGGGAGCGCCGTAGTTGGTCGCCGGAGCCGAGGGCGACGGCAGGAAGCTGCTCACGCTGGGCGCACCATAGCCTGAGGATGGACGAGCTGGCGCGCCATAGCTGGCGGATGGTGGCGCCTGCTTGGGCGGGCCGTATCTGGACGAGGGCGGAGCGGGCGCACCGTAGCTCTGCGAAGGCGGCGAAGATTTCGGTGGACCGTAGCTGTTCGAGGGACGACGCGCTTGTTGTTGCTTCCTGGGCGGTCCGTACGATTGACTGGGCCGGCTGGGCGGCGCACCATAGCTGGAGGATGGGGGTGGCGCGGGACGAGCAGGTGGTCCATAGGAGCTGGCAGGTGGTCCATAGGAGCTGGAGGGTCTCTGGGGATACGGACCGCCCGAGGAGCCGCCGCCGGGCGCCGAGTAGCTGCTGGACGGAGCTGGACGCGCATTGAAAGACGGCGCCGGGCCCGAGGCGGGCGGCAAATAGGAGCTGGCCGGCGGTGCGCCATACTTGGACGAGGGTCGTCCGCCCGACGAAGGCGGCGGCAAATACGCATTGTTCAGCGGCGGCTCGGCGGCAACATCGGTGGGCAGCAGGAAGGCAGCGACGGCAATGACGCCAAAAAGCTAAAGGAAAAATAAACGAAACAAAAAGAAAATGTTGCGAAAATGAGGAAATTAGTTTTCTGTGCCAAAAGCGAGTAATCCGGGAAGGGGGGTGGGGGGGTCCATGGCTTACCACGGCGAATGACGAGCGCATCTTGGCTGAGGTCTGCGAATTGGCCAGGCTGCAAAAAAACGGAGTGTGTAAAAGAAAGTAAATGGCCGAGAAATAAATGAAGCTAATGTTGCATAAGTTATCTATATTTTTTTCTTCCCATACGCATTATGGCTATTGACCCGGGTCAGGGGTCAAGTCAGGGGTCAAGCCTCAATCAGCGGCTCATCAATCTTGCTGCCAAACTTGCTGTCAATGCCAAGAACTCCGGCTCCGGAGCAGCCGGAGCGTATCGCTTGGCCCCAAAATTTACATAATTCACTTTTGCTTTGGCCACAGAAAAGAAAATCGCGAAGTGAAACTTTTCCTTTATTGAATAAAGGGTTTTTCCCGCCCAAAGCTGGATCGTGTCGTGGATTTTATGACTTTGACTCCAACTTTGACTGCAGCTGAATGGGAGCCCATTCCAAGCCTCGACAATCATTTTTGCTCTGGAGCTCTTGCCAATTATGGCCATGTTCACTTTCAATTGTTGTCTTTATTTTTTGTCTTTGCTCACCATTCGACGCGTCGTCTTTTTTTTTATTGCGAAGTCGAAAAAAAAGCCAATTGTAATTATTTTTCGAGCCCAACTTAAGTGCTGACAGCTTTGACCCGCTCACTGTGGCAATAACACATATTTTTCGTTTTTCTTTTATGTGCCAACATTTCTAATTGGGCATTATGTAAGGCTCATGGCAGCGGCTAACATGCATTGTAAATGCTCATGTTAAATGTCAAGTTGTGCTTTGAAATATTGCAAACTATTGCAATAAGTTGTAATCAATAATAACTGTTTAAATGGATTACAAAATCCAAGCTGTAAAACTGTGCCTGGTGTTAAACTTGATGTTAAGCATGCCCTTATCTTAACATGCATTGTAAATGCTCATGTTAAATGTCAAGTTGTGCTTTGAAATATTGCAAACTATTACAATAAGTTGTAATCAATGTATTTATTGATTAATGGAATTCCGAAAAGCTTAGCCCGTAGTTGGTTAAAAAAAACCTGGCTGCAAACTTGATGTTAAGCATGCGCTTATCTAAGGTAAGCGCTTGCAGCGTCTAATATACATTGTAAGTTGTAATCAATGTATTTATTGATTAATGGGATTCTGAAAAGTTGAAGCCGTAGTTGGTTACAAAATCTAGGCTGTAAAAATGTTCCTAGTGTTAAACTGGAAGTTAAGCATGCGCTTATCTTAGCATGCTAACATGCATTGCAAATGTTCATGTCAAGTTGTGCGTTGAAAATATGCAAACTATTGCAATAAGTTGTAATCAATAAATACTGCTTAAAAGCTGAAGCCGTAGTTGGTTAAAAAAAATCCAGGCTGTAAACTTGATGTTAAGATAATCTCTTGGATCATGGCTAACATGCATTGTAGCTGTTAATGTTAAATGCAAACGCCAGAGGGCGTCAATTTGTGCGAGCTATTGTAATCAATAAATACAGCTTAAATGGATTCTTAAAAGCAGGCTGTAAACTGGATGTTAAGCATGCGCTTAGCTTAGTTAAGCTCTTGGCTCTGCGGTTAACTGTCGTTTAACTTTTGAATACACTTTTGTTTACACTTTAACAACTTTTATCCTTCGCGATGTGCACACTAACCGTTTAAAAGGCAACAGCAGCTTATGAGTTGGAGGTTTTATTTGGTTTTGGTTGCTGAAGATGGTTTTTGCTGCTGCTCTGCCGAAAGCCGAATGCAAACTACTCTGTGGTCTGGTGCGGCGCATGCACTTTTATACGAAAGCCGCCTGGCGTCCCAGCCAAGCTGAACGAACATCATAACTGGGCAGAGGCACAGGCAGAGGCAGAGGCAGAGGCAAGAGCCGAAAAATAAAGCTTCGAGCCAAACACAATGAGCGCCAACATGTTTTCAATTTCGTATTTTATGTAACACCAAATGCACTCTTCAAAGCCGAATCACTCAGCCAGCATCTACATTCAACATGCCACAAACAACAGCAGCAGCAAGTAAGACGACTCTGTTCATGGCTGACAGACTAGGCAATACCCTGTAGCTAGGATTGGGCTATAGCTCTATAGATAATCCATGTTCTGGAAAATTAACTATACATCTGTGTTTGCTGTGTGATCGTTCTTAAATTATCAGTTATTTAAACTCGCTTTCAAAATATCCAGAAATTTTCAATGCTTCATTCCAATTTTTGCGATAGTTATGCAAGGCTAAATATGGGAGCTTAAATACAAAATTTAGCATCATAAGCTCGTACAATTTTTGAAATATGCTCAAGATAAATTTCGAAAATCGTTACCTATCGATATTTATAGATTAGATCAAATAATCTCTGAAATATTTTCGATAAATATATGTTGAAAATCGATAATTATCGATGTTTATAATCTCTGAAATATGATCATGAGATATATGTCGAAAATCAATACCTATCGATGTTTATAGATTAGATCAAATAATCTCTGAAATATTTTCGATAAATATCAATACCTATCGATATTTCTAGGTAAGCTCGTAAAATCTATAAAATAAGCTCAAAGTATTTACCATACATCGAAAATCGATACCTATCGATATTTATAGATTAGTTCGAATAATCTCTAAAATATGCTGAAAAATATATGTCGAAAGTCGATAATTATCGATATATAGATTAGATCGAATAATCTTTGAAATATGCTCAAAAGTCGATATCTAACAATAATTATAGATTAGTTCGAATAATACAATAAATAGGAAACAAGAAAGAAAGACGTTATTATTTAACTAAAGAAATGTATACTAGATATATAGAGTGTTAAGTAGATAGAATAAGGAGATATTGAGGAATCATCGACCCAGTGGGGAAAATTTATAACCTATCCGGCAAGCTATGCTATACCGACAGATGGGCAGATGCTTCGGGTTAGCCGGATAGATATGGGCAGCTCAACTTATCAATTGATGATGATCAAGAGCGTAAATCTCATCGAGCTGCCTTCAGCTGTCACACAATTTTGCACAGCTGCAATATACCCCATACCCATATTTAATGAATACAGGGTATTTACAACAGCAACGGCAACTAAAGGCGCAAAGCCAGGGGCAGCATTCGGAAAGCGGCCGCTGGAGCTTTTGTGTGGTTTTTGCATTGATAAAACCGACTTCACAGATACACTTGACCCCCCGTCCCCCCGCCCCCCTTTCCGGCGACCGTGGAGCAAGTTCACAATTGCCGAAAAAAAACCATGTGTATAATTGCGAGCACGGTGCGTATACTCGTTGCGAATTGCGTATACGCCTCGGGTTGAAATATTATTTGCATTTATCAATTGTTTATTGTGTCAATGTTAAGATGGATGCTCCCATGGCTGACGAGGGGGATTAGGCAACCGTTGGCGGCATCTCGGGCTTCTTCCAGATGTAACTGGCCCAGGGTATGCACTCCTTGAGCAGATGCATATAGGCCAATCCGTGGGGACAGTCCATCTCGGTGGCCGGCTTGTCCAGAGTCTCGCACAGCCAATACTTGGCCGGATCGAAGTGATGCGTATACGTTTGCCCGATCTCCGACTCATCCTTGCAGGCGGAGCGACCGGCATCGGCCCTAACAGCAACAACAACGGCGGCCAGAACGGCGAAAAGGACAAAGACTGCAAAAATTTGAAAATAATGAATATATATCAAGAATATCTGTCTAATATCTCTAGAATATTTACCGGCTTTCATTGTTAGCTGTGAAAGTTTTTGTGTGCTCTTGCCCGTCGCGAGATCGACATTTATATGCTTCTCGAGCTGTTGACATAAAAAATAGAATATTAAAAAATACAATAAAAAGAGAACACAATTGAAAACAATTCGCATCCGTTGATTGCGATCTGAGCGACATGGAATTGATAAGAGAAAACCAGCTAGGACAATTTACTTACTCAACTAATTAATGCTTTTTTCTTCCTCCCACTGATAAAGTTGATAAAAAATAGAAAACGATGCAAAAAAGAAATTTATTGAAATTATTCCAATTGGCAAAACGAGCTCTGCGTCAGTTAAAAGTTCACGCACATTAAATAATTTGATTAAATTAAAAAACCTTAGAAATAAAATCAAATAATTGTAGTTATTTTTTCATTTAAATTGGGATTTTTATTGAAATTATTTATGCGTTGCAATTGGAAAAAACCACAGATAAAAGTTCAGGCACATTAAATAAGTAAAGCAACTATTTAGATATAACTTTAAAAATAAAATAAAATAATTAAACTTAATTTTTTCATTCCAATTGGGAATTTTATTGAAATTTTCATGTTCCAATTGGAAAAGGAGATACAAACTCAGAAAATAAATAATTTAGTTAATTGAATTTAGTTTTTCATTTTAAGTAGGGTTTATCTTTATGAAGCAATAGATAAATTAGATATAACCTGAGAAATAAAATAAAATAATTGTTTATTTTTTATAAATATAATAATTGGCCTTAATTTTTCATTTAAATTGGGTTCATCTGAAGAAAATATTTAGATATAACTTTAAAAATAAAATAAAATAATTGAGTTTAATTTTTCATTTAAATTGGAAAATTTATTGAAATTATTTATATGTTCCAATTGGAAAAAAGAGATACAAGCTCAGACACATTAAATAATTTAATTAATTGAACTTAATTTTTCATTTAAATATGGTTTATCTCCATGAAGCAACTATTTAGATTTAAACTGAGAAATAAAATAAAATAATTGAACTTAAATAGGGTTCATTTAAATTGGGTTTATTTTTATGAAGCAACTATCAACTTAAAAAAATTAATTACAATTAATTAAAACTAATTATTCATTTAAAGCGCAGCAGCTGAGAGTTAATTTCCTTTGAGTTAATCAGCTAACTTGCATTATGTTCAGATAAAAAAATAAAAGGAAAGTTGTTTAATATAATTAGTTGAACTTATTTAATTGTTCAAGAGTTCAGTTTTAACTTGCGAGTAGGAAACTTTATTTTTATAAACCTCATTCAAAAAAAACAACTACTTAAATTAATTGAAATTATTTACCTTTTTTAAAGCGAGTCGCTTGGAATTTGTAGATTAAATAAAAATTTAATTTGAAATGCAATTAATCATTTATTTTGCGAGTAGATATTCAGAAAAAATTAAACAAAATTCGTAAAACATATATTTTATTTTTATTTATTTATAAACGAATGCTGCTAGCTTTCAGATTATCTTAAATGAAATAATATTATCTGAAATAACTAACTAACTGTGTAACTATATTTAATAACTAAAAAATTTGTATACTAAGCGAGTTGCTTGGCATTTTTAGATAAAATAAATATTAAATTTACTAATTATTTCTATTGAAATTAATAATTTATTTTGCGAGTAGATATTCTGTAAAAAATAGAAAAAAATATTATAACATATGTTTAATTAATTGCAATATTTTATACCAAAATTAAGCTGTCCGGCTCGAGGTCAATGTTAATTATATTTTATATAAATAATAAGCAAAAAAACAAGGTATGAAATATAAACAGATTTTCTGTTTAGCTTTAACGTGAATCTTCCGCTTTTATCAACAGCTGTTGACTGTAGAAATGTAAACGATTTGTATGCTTTTCAATACTTTAACTTGTTGGGAATTGCAAGCGTGAGGCAAGGGAAAAAACAGCTCTGTCCTTTATCAAGTGAATACCTTTATCAGTGAATACCCTAGCTATAATTCGAATATATGTATATATATTTATTCTTGGTATTTTTTTTCCGTCTGTTTAGAGCAGCTGTTAAGCTCTTCCGATTATAACATTATGTTATGGCCAACATACAATAAAATTCTATTCAAAATTCCTGCAGCTCTTTTGTGCGCAACACCTGATGAATATTGATTGACGAGGTATTCAATGCATTTGATTGGCTCGACAGACGCGATTCCATTAGCATAGCGCCAGCTTGAACAAAGCCAAAGAAAAAGCCAAAGCCAACGAAATGAAATATTTAACAATGAAAAGGTAAACATATATAATTATGATCATGCTGTAATGTGAATTCATTTAAATTGCAAAACAAACATTTTGATTATCGATTTACTGGATTTGCAAATTACATATTTATCTTTTGTTAACTGTTCATCGTTTCTTGTGTGTGTGTGTGTGTGTGTGTGTGTGTGTGTGTGTGTGTGTGTGTGGCTGACCCCCCGTAAAGCGTTTCGGGCCAAACACTTGACCAACATAAATGCTTAAGTGTGGATGCAAAAAAAAATATCACGAAATCAACCAGAGCCAAAAAAAACAAAAAAAAACGAAACTAAATACCAAAAAAAAAAAAACAGAAAAAAACAGTTAACAGCTAACACATTGATGAAAACAAAAAACGCCAAAAAACGAAAAGACAAAAAAGCCAAAAAATCTATTACAAAATGCTTAAAAAGTAATTACAGTTTCCGCATTGAACTCTGCGGCCGTCTGCAGGGCAAGCTGAGGGGTAGGTCGGCGGAGGGGGGGGGATGGCGACGGGGGACAGGTGTCGCCAAGCAGCAGGTGCCCATGGCGGGAATTGGTTGCCTACTCAAATTGATGAGGCTCCCCACCAAGACGAAGACAGCGCGAAAAAGAGAGGGAGAGGGAGAATGGGAGAGAGAGAGGGAGAGAGAGAGAGAGAGGGAGAGAGAGAGAGAGTGAGGGAGAGGGAGAGAGAGAGAGAGAGAGAGAGCGAGGGAGAGGTTGAGAGATGCTGAGACAATGACTTGGCAGCAGTGTTGGCATTGCAGCTTTTTTCTAGCTAAATATAGCTAATTCCGGAAGCTATTGAAATTTCCAAGTGCTATTACAAAACATATTTTCAACATTTTAAAACAGAAGCTTCTGGATGCTTGAAGAAGAGAGAGAGAAATAGAGACAGATAGAGAGAGAGAGAGAGAGAGAGAGAGAGGGAGAAATATCAGAAAATGACTTGGCTGTAGTGTTGACATTGCAGATATTTTCTAGCTAAATAGAGCTATTTACGGAAGCTATTGAAATTTCCAAGTGCAATTCTGGCCATTTTTAGGCTAACTTAGCTAGCTTTTAGCTATTTTAAAACATATTTTAAACATTTTAAAACAGAAGCTTCTGGATGCTTGAATAGATAAGCCAGACTTCAAGCACTTTTCCAAGCTTAGTAATTTTGTTCAGCTACTTATAGCTATTTTGTTGGCCATTAAATTCAGTTCTTTTGTTTGTTTGGCAACACTGGTTGGGCAGCCTGTGGGCCAGTTAATTGGGATTGTGTATAGTCGGTATTGTTTGAAATTTGTTAAATGCTGCGGCTCAGTTTTGAGCATTTCGTTAAAGACGATGACGAAGATGATTACAAATGGGGGCAGGGGCAGGGTGAGGGGCAGGGGCAGCTCATTATCGATTAAGTGGCTACGCTTTGAGTAAATCCAATTATTGGAAAGAAGGGAGAGGGGCGAGAGGGAAGAGAGGGAAGAGAAATGGGGGCAGATTGCACAAGCCACCTGCGAGACGTCTTCTATCTTTGATGAGCTCCGAAAATAGAGTCGGGCAAAAAAAAGGCCAACTAATTTGCAGAAAGTGCTTTTGCGTGTGGAGCGTGCAATTTGGACAAAACTTTGATAAGAAGCCAAACCAGGCCCAGAATCGAATCCGGTTACGGAACACTATAAATATGCTCGAAGAGCGGAACAATTGCAACATTTCCATTTAGACACGCAACAAAATGCATCAAGGTTGGCAGAAGAAAAGGGCGAAAAATTATTGGAAAAATTCTAATTATTTTCTAATTACAGCCATGATCTTCAGCTGCCTGCTGCTGGGCATCTTTGTGACCCTTGCTAGCGCCTACAACGGCCAGGACATCTATGCGGAGCCCAATTGCGCCATTGTCGAGGATCATGCTCGCAAATTCCGTGACATCTCCGATCCGACCCATTACTGGGTCTGCGCCGAGGGCAAGGAGAAGGCCGACTATATCCAATGTCCCGACAATTATGCCTTCATGGAGCCGCAGCAGGAATGCGTCGTCTGGGAGGAGTGGAAGTGGCTCGAGCCTTACACCAAATAAACAGCTTCTGCGATGAACATTTCGACAGAACACAGCGAACAGAAAAAACAAAATCCAAACTTGTCTTATTTATACCCTGCACCCATTGAAAATGGGTAAAAAAACAGGGTATTATGTATTTGTGCAAATGTATGTAACAGGCAGAAGGAAGCATCTACGACCCTATAAAGCATATATATTCTTGATCAGCATCAATAGCTGAGTCGATCAAGCCATGTCCGTCCCTCCGTCCGTCTGTCCGTATGTATGAACGCAAGGATCTCGAAACCTATAAGAGCTAGAGACTTGCAATTTTAGCTGTAAGTCCTCCTAGTCCACGCGCAGATCGAGTTTGTTTCCGATATTCGATAACTTGCCCCGTTTCCAAGTAATCGATAAAAATCGATATCGAAATCCTGTTTTTTGAGCAAATCTCGTAAATAATAAGAGCTAGAGTCGCCAAACTAGACAAGTAGCTTCTAGAATAGTATATATATATCAAGTATCTTTCATTTTATACCTATCGCCTTTTGGCAGAAGTGGGTGCAGGGTATCCCCTAGTCGGGAGCATCCGACTAGAACCTCTTACTTGTTTCTATTTCTTCTTTTTGTTTGGGCTGTCAATTAGTTTGGCCAACTTTTGATTGGTTTTGATGGGCATGATGGGTGTGAGTCGCTGCCTTCGATTTTGGTGTCAAATAAATAAATTAATTAAATGGCCAAACTTTGGCTTTGGCTGCCATGTTCCGGTCCACACATGCTCGCCAGTTCCCTAGATGTGCACAGGTAAGTAAAAGTTGCCTAACTACTGGAATACAATAAATTAAGTATATTACCTAATCGGAAAATTGAATATAATCAATATTGAAGTATCCTTAGTTTTTGCAATCACTCTCAGAATTCAAAGTACACTAAACTTATCAAAGCCTTAGCATATTTCAGGCTTGATGGCATTTGGTGTTGATTTTTTTGTAGATTATAAATCTAAAATCTTTGCATTTAGCAAAATATTTGTGTCGATAGCCAACTTTTCTAAAACTCACCTTAAAATAGATTTCAGTCTATTTAGTTTTTATTTAGTCTTTTTAGTTTTTCTCTCAAAACTCATATGCAAAAATGACAAAAACTTGGATATGCGAAGTTTCTAGTAAATGAGCTGCCTAGTTTGAAAATTTCCTCAATTTCGCTTATACTAAATCTATTTTCAAGCTTTTCAGTTTTTACATCTGAAACTTAAGCATGATAAAAATTATAAATTTTGTAATTTAAATATATCGCATAATCGATTGTGGGCGCTGGGAAAAAAGTCATGTAAAATTATATTCGGAAATTGTCAAGTAAAATTCCCGAGTGCCCTTCCTTCCTAAATTTCAAGCTGACTTTGCTTTATCCAAAAGCGGCCCGATTTCCGTGTGAACCACATTTGAGGAGTATGACTCGGCTTACAATCGAAAAAAATTATTTATGTGGCATGGCAGATAGTTGGTTGGACGAGTTATGTCAATGGCAATGCGAACATTAGTTTCGGTGTGTTTCGTGTTGGAAGTTGGAAGATATGGCGCATATGTCTGATAAACGATAATTAGGCAGTGCGTGTCTGTTGCGCTTGTAATTGTTATCTAACACCTTCGATTGCCAATCATAGCTGAGGCAGCAGCAGCAGCAGCAGCTGCTACAATCAATCAACTCGGATGGCCCACACGTCTGTGGAGAGATTCGTTTAAAGAGCGCTCGAGGTTCGGCTGATGACAAGCGCTGCTCCAATTTGGAGCTTAACAAAATATAAATTGTTCAATTCGGTTGCTTCATTTTCCTTTCGTTTACAAATAAAAGTAAAAACTACAAAATAAATAA